TCTTCTGCTTTAAGCAACCCACCAATTCAAATGTTAATCTCTTCTAGGAATGAGCTCACAAACACACCCAGACATAGGTTTAACCAGTTATCTGGGCACCCTGTTGCCCAGCTAACCATAAAATTAACCATCACAAGATTGAATTTACATATACACTGTGCATTCAGTCAAATTTTCTGACTATAGCACAGAGACAGCAGTAAAGTCAATGAATTCATCTAAATAATAATGGAAACATTCTTAGGTGCCTTTCACTTAAGCAATTTAGATGTATAACCAGTCAAGCCAATTATAATTCTTTTCTATTTTATCACCTAAATGTCTGGTAAAAATGTAATTCAGTAATCTAGGATCCAATGATTGGCCTCAGGGAACAGAATAAAAGATACAATGACATCCATAACCAGTGAATAGACTTAGAAACTCTTGAAGGGTAAGTGGCATTGCAATTTTTAACTTTCATTTTAATTCTGTAGTATTCAAAATGGAAGACCATGATAACTTTCTGCAAGGATCTTTACCAGGACTTTCATAATTTCTTTTTTCCCCCTCCCTTCCTAATGGAGGTATCTGTACTCCTCGTTCTCCTGGCCCTGGATAATTCTTGGCACTATTGAATCTCTTCTGACAGCAGAAAACAGTGATGAGGAGGTTGAATGATTCAATGGCAATTTAATCTGGTCTTATTTTATTTGGCCTTGTGCAAGAAGAAACCTGATGTGGCTTGGAATTGTAATGCCAGGAATTACCTGATTCCTGCATATTTCTCCCATTTTTCTGCCTGGTGAATGACTTCTATGGGCATTTAAAGCATGTACAACATGGTAAATGTAGATTTGTTGCTTCAGCCCCTGAACTGGGTATCTTATTTTATTGCATTTAAAATTAAAGGAGGGAAATAATAGATTTTAGATTTTATTTATAGGGACAAGGCATTTGAGTGTATTCATATGAGTTGCTCTTTGATGCAGTACTGTCTTGTTTTCCTTTCAGTCAGACTTCTGGATTTAAGTGAAGGAAAAAATAACAACCAAAATAAAGGAATTTCTATAAATAAAATGTCATAACTATAAAGATCGACAACCTAAAGAATAGAATTAATATGATGTGATTAGTCTGTAAAAAAGGAGTCCAATGTTTATGTCTGGCTATGGAAGACCAGTTATGATTCAGAGAAGCTGAGACATGGTAGGAGAAGGTAGAGTAATGATTAGCAGAGAAGAGCTGGACGTAAGCATATGCAATAGAAGAAATAGCAGGAGGTGGTGGTGCTAATGTGGAAGAAAATTATTGTAGCAATTGTTGCATTGTGGCCCCAGTGGTCCATATAAGAACTTTGTTATCTTGCAGGAGGGTCTTTATGAAGAGGCCATCGGTGAAGCAAAATAAGGAGAAGAGCCCCTGAGGTGACAGAAAGAGAAGAGAACCAGACCATCTCAATGTCCTAGTCAAATCTAGCACCTTGGGGACCTCTCAAATGGATGAATTCACATGAATGATCATTGGTAAATCAACAGAGGAATTACCCAGCTAAGCCCCAACCAAATGATAGCTGTAAGCAAATGATGTGGTCATTGTGTTAAGTCACTAAGTACTGGAGGTAGTTTGTAATACAGCAAAAGATAACTGTTGGTATGATAATTGACAAGTCAAGGATGTCTCTTTCTTCTCTGGCATATTGTGGTGTTAAGTGGAGAAGAAGGCTTGAGACCACAGCAAAATTGGGTCATATCCTCACTTTGTCAATTTTTATCTCTATGGTGTTATTTGCTATTTCTGAGTTTCAGTCTTTTTAGTTTTAAAATGAGACAAATATTTCTCCTCTCTCAATATAGTTAAGACATTATGTGCGTGAAAGTTTAGGGCTATATGAAGTACACACCAAACAGTAGTTCTACTTCATATCCTCCCTATAGTTCCTTTTATCTTGAGGGGACATATAGTTATCTAAAGCCTTTTATTTCCTAAAACTAGTCCTGTGACCTGCTAAAGGCAGTTTTGTCACAGGTCAATGGACTTTGTGCATGAGTATATTTGATCAACAATCACTGTGTCTATATGAAGAAGAGATAAATTATCAAACCACAAGTAACAGATTTTTTTAACAACAATGGCAGATTTTAGGGGTCATTACTGGAGTCCATGCACATTTGTTTCTTTGTCCCAGACTATCTGCCCTTGCCCCTCTGGAACACCACTCTTGCATGTTACAATAACTTGGGTTCCCAAGGAATGTTGAAGTTACATTCATCTTATTTTATTTCAGAAGGCACATACTATATTTCAGTTAGATTTTCACAAAAAAACATTCTTTCTCAATTGTTTGTGAAATTCATTCATTTAGGTAAAAACTAAACATTTCAAGGCAACACTAGATGAAATTTGGCACTCATTGAGCCTCTGCCTTAGTACCAGAAGGTGATTTAGGATTTTGTAAAGGAAGTCTTATATTGTTTGTGTAATTTATGTTAAAATTTTGCAAACATCCAGTTTCCCAGCTCCCTGAGATAAAACAAAGTGTGCACATGCATACATACACATACACCAAAGGATTAAGGAGAAAAGAAATAACCTGCCTGGGCCTCAATTTCCAAATTGGGAAAAGAGAAAGTCAGGCTAGCTTTCTCAGACTGGAAGGTTTTCCAAGACTACTTCTAGTTCTGAGTGTAGTGGAAGTCTCACCTCCTTGTGCCTGCACTAGCCCTTCATAGAGAATAAGATTAGAAACACAGGTTGCTCCCCAGCAAAACTTTAATTGCAAAGCTTTAATTACAAAAAGAATCAAAATACACACTTAGGTTATGTTTTTTTAAATTGTATTTTTATTTATTTATTTACAAACTCAATTCAAACTTTAATATTTTTCCCTCTTTAAATAACAAGTACTTAATTGTCGTGAGGCAACTATTCGGTTTTTGATAACCACATATAGGGATACATTCATAGGACTGCTTAGAAAGTCCAGGTGAAATGGATATAGAAATAGAGGCAGTGTCATCTCAGAAAACTCAGTTATATATCAAAATCTATTTTGATATCTGGAAGTTTACAAAAAGGCTGAATTCTTCACACTAATTACACTTCCTGTAACTCAAGCACTCTTTTCTTGTCAAGAGCAAGCTGAATCTCATCCACAAAGGTAAAGGTGCTTAATGCTAAACTTTTCTTCGAAGCCTACATTTGGAATGTTTAAGGAATTGATAATGAAGAAAACAGTGTGGTCTTTCTACATTTTTACTAATTTAAGATTAGAACACTAAAAATTCATTCACCAGCCATCTTCCTTTCTTATATTTTTCTTGGCACTCAAGACTATGGAAGTCTATTTTACTTTGTACTCTCACACTTACAAATAAAAACTTAAGGATATAAAGTGTGTACATTCTATAAAATAATATTGTCATTTAACCTATTTGGAGATGAGACTTTTATACCAGAATTTTACATGAGGATCAATATTATGAATCAAACTTCCTTAAAGTCAAATGACAGAAAACTCAAGCCCTGTGCATTGTTTGTAAAGTCTAATGAGAGCATTTCTTGAACCATCACTACTGACAAACCAAAAAATTCTAAATATTGAAGATGGGGCAATGGGAGTAAAACACAAGTATTCCAGATGTCTCTCATAAAGTTATCAACCTGTTAAAGCCACTCTCTACGTGTCAGAAAACGTTCTGACAAAAACCAGTCTGTCAGTAGAGGAGGTCACAGTGATATCTGCATTATTAACACTTTATGCTTCTATCTTTCTTAGAAGCAATTTGTTTAACAATTCCCCTTATCCCAAATCCTTAAACTCAATATTGTAGGCACAGAGTATAAGCAAATCTGGGAGGTTCTCCAACAGATAAGCAATAACATAGCTATGTTATTCTCAAAAATACTGTTTAGATATTTTTTCCTATACAATCAAATGTTCAGTGGCCACACTTTCAATTAACAATCTGCATTAGTTGACATTAAATGCATTTATTGTGCCACAGTCCATCTAGGCTTCCTTTTAGGTATTTTTTTTTAATATGTTTACGAGAAAATACCTGCTTTAGGTTGACTTAGGGATACTGACCTATAAGGACATCAACTCCACTTTTAAGGTTAGACTATTATTGGGTTTGCTGAAGGAAAAAGGTTGGGGGAAAAAAAAAGATCACAACAAAGCTCTTTAGGTCAGTTAAAGGCCATATCTCTAGCTGGGAGAATAAAAAAAGTTTTTTTCACCAGCTCATACTCTAAAAATTAATGTCTCTAATATCAATAGCAAAGAAAAACAAATCTTCTAATAACCAGCTCACTCATTAGCAAAAAAGCAGTTTAACTCAAATGCTTTCAGACCAAAATATAACACAACCTACCCAAACTGCCTCATCCATCAGTCGGGGAAAAAATTGCTTTAAAAACCTAAATAAACTTGATATTTCTTACGAAGATAAAAATGGTCCAACTCCTGAGAAAGTGCTCAGAAGGACTAAAGGTGGAGTGAAGGCAATGTCTAGGGATTAACATCCCACAAATAGTTTTTAAGAACCTAGAGTACCACAAACACACTAAACTTGTCTATGAATTACAGAACAAGATATTGCTGCTGCTTCTTTTTATCTTTAGAAATAAACAATATCTGTAGGCTCTGCCCTTCAATGTGAAAGCAGGAAATAAGGAAAAAAAATAAAATTGAAATCATCTGACACCCAAATTTTGGGACCATACATTTTAACTGTGAAACTAAACAGATCTACCTTCTCCTTCTTTCAAGACAACCACCGTATACACACACACAAAAACACAAATAAACTAAAAGAGAGAGAGAGCGAGAGAGAAAGAAAAACTAAAACAATTCAAACATGATTATTTTTAAAAGTCCTTGAAAGTAAAGAAATGAGGGAAAAAAGGAACAAGTAGGGAGGAAAACTTAGGAAAGGCGGGGGACAGGGGCAGGGAATCAATGGGCCTCTCTTTTATTTGGCGACAAGCAAGTGTAAGAAAGTTCATTTGTAATTTGTTCAGTTGTCTGTTTTCTGCGCGTCTGCATTCTGACCAGAAGGGACTTTGAGGTTTTTCTGAAGCACATGAGCATCTGCAGGCTCTATCCTCTTATAGTAGTTCTTCTTTGTCTCAATAATCTCAAAGCCAAACTTCCTGTAGAAGTCAATTGCTGACTCATTGCTGATCTGAACGTGCAGACAGATGTTATCAAAAGTGCCATCTTTTTCACAGATGTTTAGGACGTGATTTAGCATTTTAGTTCCTATTCCTAGCCTTCTGTAAGGTGCAAGACATCCTAGTGTCATGATGTAAAGTCTCTTCTGATTCTGTGAATGATCCACCCTGCAGCATACTGCACCTACAGCAATATCATTGAAACAGGCAAGTTTTGCTAGCTCGCCAACCTCCAGCACATCCTTGTAGAACTTGTCATTGTAGCTGACTGGAAAAATGACCTGGTTCAATCTCTTCAACTGTTTAATATTGTGTGGTGTTACATCTCCCAACTCGATCCGGCTACCTTTCATCTTCCCCGCCTGCTGAGGCCATCATTACCACCGCTATCAACGCCGCCGTCCTCGCCGCCCCGAGCTCTCGGGGCCCTCCACCCCACAAGCCGGCCTCCTCGCCTAGGGCACAAAGCTGAAGGGGTGACGGAGGCCGCGAAAGTCGAGGGCGGCCCTGAATCTCCGAAGGGGGCGGGGGTGTCTCCAGCAGTCGCGCTGGTGCCGCGGCTTCTTCACACGTGCACTCAGGGCACTCAGCTCCCTCCCGCCGCCGCCGCCGCCGCCGCCGCCGCCGCCGCCAGCCAGTTAAATTGTATTTTTAATTGTGTTTTGTCTCCATTTTCTTTTAAAAGAGAAACGAAAACTTCAATTTGCCAAATTGCTGTACATGTTTCCTTGCTGGGTAGTTGCCCTAGCAAGTTAACCTAAAATGATTTTCTAAAATGTATTTTTAATGAGAAAATTTGATCCCTGAAATTTGTCTTAAACATTTTTTTTTCTTCAAACCTCTTATAGGACTCTGGAGTTTCCATACCTTAGTGCCAAGAACATAGCAAAGAAATCCAGCTTACTTTAGTAATTACTTGTGTTACTCTAGCTCAAAGTTGTTTTGCTGTTAATGGCTTAGGAGAGCCATTTGAATACTTTGATTCTTGTAATAAAAGTTCTAATGGGGAAAGTAGGTGAATGCCCATGTAATGTTTAGCCTATTAAAACAGTGATATTCAAAGCTTTTGCAGATAAAATTCTTACCAGGGACTATTAATAAGGACAGGTCAATTGTAAGGAAAGCAAGAAAAAAATAAGAAAGTCAAAGTCAATTGGGAGAGTCTTTTCCTTCTTCAAAATAGGGCCCACAATATAGGGGAATTTATTTTTTCTCCCTTCTTATTGGAAGAGGGAAGATTCTCCCCAGTAATCTGATTTCATCCCAAGCATATTAGTTAGGCTTCCCCAGAGAAACAGA